TAATCAGAAAAAAAATAAGAAAACGATCCCATTTAAAATTGCATGAAAAAGAATAAAATGTAAGAAAAATTTAACCAAGAAGGTGAAAGACCTGTATATTGAAAACTAGAAGACATTTATGAAAGAAATTAAAAGCAAACACCAGAATAAGAAAGAAATGAAGGGAGGGAGGGAGATAAAAAGGGAGGTGGGAGGAAGGAAGGAAGGAAGGACTAAAGATATCAAATTTGAAGGAAGGGTAAACATTTTTCAGATATATTTAATATAAGGCAGGAAAGGACAGTTTGGACAAAAGGAACATTATATTTAGATGCATGTACATATAAAAATGCATGGTGTATTAAGGAAATATATACTGATTTCGGTATGTACACTTCTTACAGATAGTACATGGGAATAGCAAGAAATGAGCTGGAGAGAGAAACTGGGGTCACGTGTGAGAATCCTTTGTGTCATATCGAAAACTTGAGACTTTTCTGAAGACTTCTGAGAGCCAATAAAGGATGTAACACAGAAAAGGCCTCATCCAATTTCCATTTTAGACAATGCCTAGGGAGGAGTTTGGCTTGAACAGGTAGAGACTGAGGGACAGGAGGGATATTGGAAAACTTGCAGTGGTCCTAGTAGAGGGTAATGAGGGCCCCGTGAAAGGAGGTATGGGAGGGAGATCAATGCTGAGAAAGACTCAAGAGGAACAACCAGTAGCACCTGTTGCCTAGTTCAATGTGGATTGGTGGGTAGAGAGGGCTGGTAATGTTCTCCGAGGTATCCTGGTTGGCTGAAACGGTGGGCAAGCTGCCACTCTCTGAGAGACAGAATACGACAGGAGAAGCTTTTGAAGGCTGAAGGATGGGAATGAGTTGGATCTGACACACGGGATATGGAGATGTCCCTAAGGCACCCAGGCAGAGAAGGCGGAAGTCAGAATTCAGAGAGAGACAGAGGACAGAGAAAAAGTCCTCAGCCAGGTTTCCCAACACCCCCGCAGCAAGCGTGTGGGACACCCACCTTATCATCATCAAAGGAGAAAACAATCAAGACTACTTAGCCTTAGGGACGAAATCCAGATGCGACATGTCAGCGAGTCCAGGCTAAGAGTTAAATAATAAAACAATATTTGGCTCACCATATACCGTTGTAGCTAATGTCACAGTTGCTAACTGAGGATGAAGACATTTTTCTGCGCTTATGCCATAGTAAGTGCAGTTAACAGTCCAGTTCTTCTCCTTCCACTGATAGGTCCTAAGATCCAACCCTTGATCCACAGGCTGGTGCTCAGAGCCGTGTCAGCCAGGGCCAGAGGTCAAATTCTTGAGACCAAAGTCTAATTCTGTGAGTAGGAAGTACAAACAGGCTTTTTAAAAAGTCATCTGGTGACAGACTCAGATGAAACCTTAGGAAGAGTTCTATATGCTTTATTAAGTCAAAAGTAGTTGACAAGTTGACACATTTTTAACACTACATTATCAGACTAATTTCAAACACATTACAATAAAGAGGTATAAAATGCATAAAATTTTAATCATCTTGATGCCCTTCCTGTCAGGGTCAGCATTTATGAATAATCACAGCTGGAGAGGTCACCTGGGAACCAGCAGGAATTTAGTGAATCCTAATATTATACAAAACCATGGCAGCTGAACACCCAGGGAGGATATCTAATCATTGTCATTACAAAAAAGTTGTCATGTAATGTTTTTAATTGGCAACCTGGGCATCAGTCATGGGCAGGGTGGGGCCAAAAGACATGACCTACAAAGAAGGAAGTAAGAGAAGACAGGGAAAAACTGGGAAAGGAGAAGAACTGAAAACTGGGTAAATCCATAGTTATGTAACCAAGGAATCTCCTCAGAGCTCTGCTTACTCACCAAAAGGCTAGACCACTTGTTAATAAAACTTGGATTTTACAAATTTATTTTATGGCCAAACGAGTTTCCTATTCTGGACTTTGGTGCTTCAGACCAAATTGAGAGACTTTCCAGAATTGCTCATGTCCTAAGAGAACTGTCCTATCTTTACCAAGGCTTACTTCCAAGAACTGGCACCTTGAATGTTTTTACTGCTCCCAGGAGTCTCCCCGACCCAGTGTCTTCAGTTCCGCCTACTCTCTCTTCCCTATTCATTCTCAGAACCAGCTGTGCCTTCTGTGAGAGTTTGTGGCGGGTTCCGAGTGGCGTACACACATTTTCCCTCCCATTTATATCTTTATAGTAGTTTAATGGGGGTTTTTTTTTACCAGTGTAACAGCAAAGAAGTTACCGACAGTTATTCCTGATTAAACACCCTTTACAGAAAGTGAGAAGAGGAAATAAATTACTCTGTCTAAATGTACTCTTTTAGCCACATGACTAATCCTCCTAGCTAAAATTCTGTCACATCCACCCATATGTTTCTTGTCTTTTAGTTTTATTTAAATCTCAGTTACATAGAACTGGAATTATCACAGGCTTGATCATGAATGTCTTGGTTGGCCTTCTAAAATATTAAATAAGTGTATTGCTTTGAAAACAATTAAGTCTGGAAATTTTTCATACATTTCCTGGTTTAAATAAGGATTGGCTTATGTTTATTTTTAATTGCCATCACAAGTCTATAGAGATTGAATAATATGAAGAAAGTTAGGTGGTCACAGTATCACTGAATGGTAAGAGGAGATGCAAGAACTGAACCATAGGAATATTTTTTAAAAGCACACATAGGTTCTTAGATACTAAGGTACCTTCAAGGAGAGGAGTAAAAACAGGTGTGAACTAAATAGACGAAGCCTTGGGCTCTTCCGTGTCTGCTCCTGGCCTGCCTAATAGGTGCATAGAGGGAAGACCACGTGAAGAGACATCAGGAGAAAAGGACCCTCTACAAGCCAAGGAGACAGGCCTGGAGCAGATCCTGCCCCCCCCCCGCCAGCCCTCAGAAGGAACGAACCCTGCTGACACCTTGATTTCAGACTTCCAGCCTCCAAAACTGAGACAGCAAGTGTCTGCCCTTTAAGCCAGCTGGCTCGTGGTACTTTGTGAAAACAGCACTAGGAACCAAACACAAAGAGCTTATCACGGTTGCAAGTTATATCCTTGGGTGATTTGCTGGTCACTACATCACGACTGGTTTTGCATGAGCTCAAAAAAGAGATCTGGGTAGGAGATGGGAGTTTTTGCATCTCCATTGATGGAGAAGATGGACTAGGATGCAGGTCTGAGATTCTCCAACATCGGGTTGTCTTTCTTTGAAAGGGGAAAAGAGGGAAAGCCCAGAGGTGCATGGGGAAAAAAAAGCAGAAAATGAAAAACAGTGTTGGTGTTTCAAGAAGAGAGGCTTATTAATAGCATTGATTGAATGCTGCTGAACATTCAGGTGTGATCATTGAATATGGGTGATCTCACCCAATTTATATTGCTAGTGATGAGAAGCAGATAAATCATGGCAACCTATATAAAGCTTGAAGGAAGGCAACACTATAAAGTTTTGAGAAGACAATAGACAAAATATTCTTCATAATGTCAGAGAGGGGAAAGACTTTAAAAGATACCAAATGCATTAATAATAATGTAAAACATTGATGAATGTGACTACCTGAACTAAAGAGTTTCTCATCTTTAGAACGTGCTATAGAGTTTAAAAAGCAAGCCACACAATAGAAGAAGATATTTGCAACATTTAAAATGGCAAAGACTCTGTACTCAGATCTATAACTAACTGTTTGAATCAATAGAAAAAAGAAGTCACCAACCCAATAGAAAATGGGAAAAGACTCTGCAGATATTTTATAAACAAGTAGATCAAAACGGTCAATCGATATATGACAAAGTATTCAACCTCTTTAGTTACCAGACATACGCAAATTCAAACACTCCACCCCAGCTTACCCTCCAATTGCAATGTTTAAAAGTTTGAACACACTAAGTGCTGGCAAAGATGAACTCCCAGAAGCTGCTGGTTGAAAAACACATTATTGCAAAATGTTGGAACACATGGCATAATATGGGTGAAGAAACACAAGCCTTTGTACAAGGATTCCATTTCTGAGTATAAACCTCTAGAGAAAAATCATGCACATGTGTATACAGGATTCATGCACAAAAATGTTCTTTGCAGCATTGTTAATAACATCCCCCAACCAGGAAACACTCAAACGCCTTCCACTAGTAGAATGGCTGGGCCCTCTGTGAGGTTTCATACAATGATGAATCAAATAGTAATGAACTTGGATAACCTGGGGTTTACATGCAACCACATGGATGAATCTCCTAAGCATATTATTGTGTTAAAGAAGCAAAATGCAGCCCTGGCTGGCGTAGCTCAGTGGATTGAGCGCGGGCTGCGAACCAAAGTGTCACAGGTTGGATTCCCAGTCAGGGTACATGTCTGGGTTGCAGGCCATGACCCCCAGCAACTGCACATTGATGTTTCTCTCTCTCTCTCTCTATCTCCTTCCCTTCCCTCTCTAAAAATAAATAAATAAAATCTTTAAAAAAGAAGCAAGATGCAAAAAAATACACAAGTGTGATTCTAATTATATGATTCAAAAACAAGCCAAATTAACCTATATGGCCTAGGAATATATACCTAAGCGGTAACACTGTAAAGAAGCAAGGATGGGTTATCGCAAAAGTCAGCATACTGTTTACCGGCTGGTGAAAGGTTGGGGATTGTGGTTGGGGAGGCGGTGGGGGAATCTTCAGGAGCATAGCAATGCTCTGCTTTTTGACCAAAGTGATGGTGATACGGGTGTTCACTTTCTAAGTATTCTGTATACTATATACATGTTTTATGATCTTTCTGTAGGAAAGTTACACGTGACAATAAAGAAGTAAAAATTCTATCTCTAAAATTATACAATTTAATCTTGAATTATCCCATAATTTTTGCAAATGGTGCTTTCTTGTAGTGACTGAGTAAATCAGTGTGATAACTAAGTCACACTTGAGGCTTCATTTTGCCAGTAAAAATTCCCTGTACTGGTGGAATCAGATAAAAATATGAAAAAAATTTGCTTTGAATTTTAGGTTGGATCGTTAAATGCATGCTTCCTTGCAAAGAGGAATTTCCAAGTTGATGTATATGAAGCTAGAGAAGGTAAGACAATACTAAAAATGGTGAGATGTGGTTTTCATTCTCTGAGCTCTGTCTCTTTAGATTCTAAAAAGATATTTTTAAAAAATGAACTGTTCAAATTTTTAAACCTCAACTATCTCAATTAATTTAACACAAATGTACTATTATTCATATTTTCTTTTCTTCTTTTTAAAAGATTTTATTTATTTTATCTTTTAGAGAGAGGAAGGGAGGGAGAGAGGGAAAGAAACATCAATGTGTGGTTGCCTCTCGTATACACCCCCTACTGGGGACCTGGCTTGCAACCCAGGCATGTGCCCTAGACTGGGAATTGAACCGGCAACCCTTTGATTCACAGGCCAGCACTCAACCACTGAGCCACACCAGCCAGAGCAGTATTTTCTTTAAAAGAGTTAACAAGGCCTTTTAATCTGGTTCTGACTGCACCAGTTGTTCATCCTGCCCTAGGATATAAGGAAATATGTGTAACATGGAGTCTACTTCCAATGTCTTAGATATCCGAATGGCCAAATCTGCACGTGGAAGAAGCATTAACTTGGCCCTTTCTTATAGAGGACGACAAGCCTTGAAAGCCATTGGCCTAGAAGATCAGGTACCTTGCTAATGCATTTTCCTTACAGAAGATAACACCTGCTGTTTTCCAGCAATCGCATGGTCTAGCTTTCATCCTGGTGCAAAGGACTATTGAATGCCAAAAACCTCTTCATGCAGACTCATTCTACAGAGGTTTTCAAACTTCTAAATGGGCAAAAGGGTGAATATTTGATGCTTGAAGCACCTGGGGATCCAGAGCCTGATGCATGACCTGGGGCAGGGGACGTTGCAGCCCCACCTGATAATTCCTTCTGATGTGAGCTCTCAACAGGATGGCAGATCGCTGCGTACAGAGAAGTGAGCTCTGGCTGGCATGGGGATGGTGGGAGGCAGGAAAACTCCATTCTCTTGGCTCTACAGAGCCATACTCTCTTACCCACAGTCCTATGGTGCAAAAAGCTCTGAAAACAGAAAGTTTTTCATCATCTATCCAGCAGAAAATTTGACCTGATATAAGACTTTTTACAGCCATACCCGTTTTTTTCATTTGGTGTCACTACGTTTTACTGCAGAAATATTTTGTTTCACTATGGGCTGGTGCCCCAGGCTCTGCTGGCTGGATGGCAGCCACATATGCCCTGAACTACCTCTCAAAAATCTGAAAACTTCTGAATTCTTAAACCAATGGGCCCCAAGATCGTGGATAAGGATTGTGGGCCTGTAGTAGATTTTTCTAACACGGCCTCAATATCTCTGAACTTCTCCCTGTGCACCATGCAGCTGGAAAATGTGAACAGAAATCATGGATTTTTCCCAATAGGACTTTTGCTGACAAATGGGTCTTCAACATGATAACATAAGTCAATATAAGTTCTGTTTGCATTTCTACACTTTTCTTAGGTCCACGTGTAGGAAAACACCGCACTGGGTTCAGGCGTCCTGGGTGTTACTCCCCATGTGCTGCTCTCTTGGGTGATCCTGGGAAAATCACTTAACCTTCCTGACAATGTAACACTTTCCCAAGTGTCATATCAGATTTAGACCCAATAAACTTGAAGGGAATTCCGAAATCCGAAGATTCAAAAGAAAGCAAAAACTAACATTTGCAAGAACTCAGATTAACTTTCCACCATTCTATGCTTCCATGATTCTTTATACTATTCTTCATATTTTGAAAATATTTACAAAGCATACTTTAAAATTCATATCTATTTTACTTGCATAATGCCATGCTACAGAAATTGAAATCGCTATTTCCGGTTTTATTTCAGGTTGTAGCTCAGGGTGTTCCGATGAGAGCAAGAATGATTCACTCTCTCACAGGAAAAAAGTCTGCAATTCCCTACGGGACAAAATCCCAGGTAGGTTGACGCTGCGGGTACTTGTTTGGTTAGAGCTGAGTCTAAAGTCTATAACTTGCAACTCAGACCCATCTCTGACATTTCCTGCATCAGCCTAGAATTCAGGAACACAAACCAGCTAAGAAGTTAATTTATAACAGGTGCTAAAAATAGGGCCCCATCCCTCCTAAACACCCAAGAAGAGTTAGCTATTATTGTCATCACAGTAGGCTTTTTTTTTGCCTCTATGCTTTGCTCTACTGGACAAATTTTCCCTCCCATCTCCTTTCAGTTGCACAGAGAAAATTGCCCTGTATTTATTGTCAAACACAATATGCAAAAACAACTTTACAGGGTTTTATGATGTTGCCTTCCCTGACTCTCCAACCCAAAATTGAATTATAATGGAATTTATAGAATAAATCTGAAATGCCTTCAGTGTTCATAATTTCTAAAACATCAGAGTCCAGAATGTGAAGTAGCATTTGTTAAAACAAATATATTTTCTTGCTCTGTCACGTTTCTACTTGTCTTTCATGCAGTAACACACATAATTGTACGAAGCATATATTTTTATCTAGTTACACCATCTAAATTTGTTTCTTTGAGAGAATGAATGTACCAAACATCTATCAATAAGAGAAAAACTCCAACTTGCTTTGCCCAGCAACACCGCATTTTAAGCGGGGAATCCCAGTGAAGTTCATATTCTTCTGGGTCTCTGACCCTCCACAGACCTGCCATTGCAAGTATCCTGATGATGGTCAGACTCTCCTGGGATCTTGTTAAAAAGGAGTCTGATTCTGCATGGCTGGAATGGAGGCTGAAGTTCTGCACCCCCCAATTCCACAGGTGGTGCCCACGCTGCTAGCCCGTGGACCACGCTTGGGGTAGATAGCAGGAGACACGCACATGCTCACGGGACCAAGGTCTTCCCAGAGCTCATGATGATAAGGTAGCTAATGCAGCCCATGTCAATTGCAATGGCTACTATGAGAAGTGAAAACAAAATAAAGACGTGAAGAAAAAGAAATGAATCCTGGTGCATTGTTGGTGGGAACATACAATGGTACAGCCATATGAAAAATAGTGTGGCCGCTCCTCAAACACTTAAAAAATAGAGGTACCATATACTCTAGCAATTTCATTCTTGGTATATATCCCAAAGGACCAAAAACAGATATTTGAATACCTATGTTCATAGCAGTGTTTCAATAGTCAAAAGATGGAAGCAACCCAAATGTCCATTGATGGGCGGACAGATAAGCAAAACATGGTATAAGCCTATGTGAGATAACAGAATATGTATATCTTTGCCCTGGGATCCTAGAACAGAGCTCCTACAACCCCTGTCATTTCCTAAGTGATAAGGGCACCAGAAGCATCTTTTGTTCCAGTGCTTGGTCTTTGACTGCAGTTCCTGACACAGGGTACCTGAATCCCTTGGAATTTTCTGGGTAGCATGAGTGTCTTGTTCTAATGAGGTGACTCTTGGCGGGCTCCGGGATGAAAGGCCAGGTCATGATTAGAAGCTTGGCATTTTCAGCTCTACCCCCCATTCTATGGAGAGGAGAGAAGGTCTGAAAATGGATTAAATGACCCATCAAACCAATGTGAGGAAGCTCCAGAAACACCCCCAACAATGGGGTTCACAGGCCTTCCAGGTCGGCAACCCTGAGCAGGTTCTGGGAGAGTGGCACTCGGGAGAAGGCACAGAGGCTCTGCCCGCCTCTCACACGCCTCGCCCTGCACAGCTCTTCCATCCGGTGCTCCTCTGCATGCCCGTATGCTTTCTCATTTCCTTTTGTGATAAACTGGTCAATGGTAAACTGTTTTCCTGAGTTCTGTGAGCCCCTCTAGCAGATAATTCAAACCTGAAGAGGGGTTCTGGGGAACTTTCAGTTTATAGCCAATCAGTCAGAGGTGCAGCTGACAAACCGAACACAAGAGCGACATCTGAAGTGGGGGCGGTCTTGTGGGACCGAGCCCTTAACCCTGGGATGGACGCTGACTCCAGACAGCTGGTGCAGAATCGAGTTCAATTAAGGGACACCCAGTTGGGGCTGGTCATGTGAGGGTTAGAGAGACACCAGGACAAGTGTAAGTTTTCTGCACAACAGACACTAGATACCACTCGGCCTTTAAAGGGAACGGACACATGCTACTGCATGGATGAGCGCTGAGGACTTTATTCTCAGCAAAGGAAGCCAGTCACAAGAGGACAAACACTGTATGTACCCACTTCCATGAGTTCCCTGGAACAGTTAGGTTCACAGAGACAGCAGATAGCATGGCGGTTGCCAGGGGCTGGAGGAAGGTGGGATGGGGAGTTAGTGTCTAATGAGGACAGAGTTTCAATTTCAAAAGGTGAAGAGTTCTATAAAGGGACTAAATGGTAATGGAAAAAAAGATACCATAAAGATTAAATTTTAAAAAAGAGCTCTGGGAGTGGATGCTGGTGATGGTTGTAACAACACTGTGAATGCACTTAACGCCACTGAACTGTATGTTTAAAAATTGTTAACATGGTCAAGTTTATATCATAGGCATTTTGGCCCAATTAAAATTTGTTTAAAAAGTGGGTCCAAAGTAAAGCATTCCAAGAATTAAGGGCTTTGGGGAAAGAGGTGGCAGGGAGGAATGCAAATTTTCTGTTTATTTACTTTTTATACATAATAACCTGCTTATGTTGGCGTTATAAAGGTGTAGGTACAGAGTGTTCACTCCTGAGCCCGGCAGGGGGGTGAAGGGGAAGAAAGTCCACTGACCATCACAGTCAGATAGACATTCTCAGATAATTAATATATTCTGTTCAGGTGGCCCCAAATTGTGCTTGGTGTTACAGGAAAGAAAAGAATCATGTCTTCTAAATAGGCAAGTGAAATTTACATGCTCAAGTCAAGTATAAGCTGTTGTTAGCTGTGGGAGCTAAGCAAATATTACTGCTTTTTCTCGCACCTTCCAGATTCTCCTGGCCGGGCCAATAACCAAATTAACAGAGGTAGATTAGCCAAAGTGAATCACAGTTTAATACATGTCGTGGGGAATTTGCATAGACACAAAAACTCCATGAAGATTCCAATGACAGTGAAGCAACGTTGGGTATATAAGGCATTATTTTTGGACAATGAAGAAAGGGGTGAGAATGGGGGACTTGCAGGTAGTTGAGAAAGAGTTGGAATACCCCTGGCAGTAGAATCCTTGCTAGGAGTCTCAGAAAAGCCTTGCTAGGGTAAGGGTAGCTAGCAATCAAGTTCATTGTGGAAAGAGCTCAGCTGAGGAATGGTCAGCCATGGGGTCCAGAGAGGGAGGAAAGCTTTGACTTCTAGAAAAGTCTTCACAGAGAAAGTGAACTTTGAGATAGTTCGCTGAAATCTTAACTCAGCAGTGAGATGGTGTTGTCCCAATCCAGCGAGGGTCTATCAATGGAAGCAAGTTGGGTGAGAACAGGTTTCAAAAACATACAGATTTTTCAAGTGCCAAGTGTGCATTGGCTGAGAAAACGTGTAAATGCCCTTTGACATAACAGACTCTGACAGTGATCAGCAACCTTATTAAATTCACTGACTCTACCCACCTTGCTTTACAGGTGCAGAAAGAAGCTGCATGATTACAAGAGGTCAGGGTCAAAGGGAAATGAGGCAGGTTTCCTCTGAGACAACAGCCAGCAGAGCGTGGTGTTGGGGGTCCTTCTGGGAGAGCGGGGCAGTACTGCTTCACCTCCCTATATCTCTTACTAAATTGAGAGTGATTTGTGATCATCAATCCACCTTCTTCTTGGATTAACGTGGGATGTGCTGAGGAAGGCCAATGCATCATATCCATCCCCTTGGCAAAGAGTGAGCCAGTAAAGTATAAATAGACCAAGGAGTGAGGTATCCCTCAAAGTTGTGCCAGGAAAGCTGGATGAGGAGAGTGACTGGGACCCGAGACTAACGTTGGCTTCCTTACCTGTACCGCCGGAGAGGGACAGACAGAAGTAGTTTCATCACCAGTGATTTCCCAACAGGGAGACAGTGCCCATGGGGGTTTCCATTTGGGGGCCTTGCATGCGTGAAAAGAAGGAGGAAATGACTCCTCCCCTGCCAATCCTGCCATTTCTCAATTCTTAAGAATTGAGTTAATGCTAAATGTATAGCCACCCCTCTTTCTTTGGCTTGCATCATTGTTTTCATGTCTGAGTCAAACATGGGAGCCTCCTTATCCTTTAAGATTGCTTTGAATTGCTGAACTCCACACCTGCCGCAGTCCAAAGCCCTCCCCAGGACCCCGGGATTTCTATGGACCCCCTGGGAGCCTACCTTCAATTGGCCTCCAGTGGCTCTAGGTGAACACCCCCTCTCCTCTGGTGTTGACCATGTACCTTGATGGTCCAGACAGGAAGTTCACCTCTTCCGCCAATTACTGCAAACAACGTTCACTCAAATGACACATGAGATCCTGAAGACCTGTGGATCCGCCAGGGCTCACACTGCCTGCAGAACAGCAAATAAACTTCAGGTCCCCAAGGGGCACAGTTTAATCTCCAATATCTGTTTTGAAACCCTTCTCTGGGCTGAGCCTCCCTCCCCTGGCTGTTTTCTTGGCCCTTTTCTCCCCGAAGCATCCAGGTTCTTCTGGTCTTGCTGGTTCCTCCCATCTCCCTCCCAGAGGGCCCTGGGAACTATCAAATTGTTCCCTAATACACAGAGCAGGCCAGAGCTCCCCAGTTTTTACTTCTAATCTGCCGAGTCAATATAATGGTGCTCCCTTACTACAAAACATTCTCTTTTGAAGGCATTCAGCGCAAAGAATGTGAACAATTTTTTTCCAATATATCTGGAAAAGTTAGCACTGTAAACTTTGTCTTAGAAGTCTCCAAAGGAGATAATCCAACTTCCTTTAGATTATTTTTATTATTATTATCATTAGTATTAGTATTATTATTTTGGTTATAAGAGCCATTTCATAGCTCAACTTATTTACATTATTTTATATGTTATTGATTATGCTAATACAGTTGTCCCATTACCCCCCCTTCATTCCCCTCCACCCTGCACACCCTCTCCCACCCACATTCCCCCCCTTTAGTTCATGTCCGTGTGTCATAAGTTCTTTAGCTTCTACATTTCCCATACTATTCTTGCCCTCCCCCTGTCTATTTTCTACCTACCATCTCTATGCTACTTTCTCTCTGTACCTTTCATAAGATCAATATTTTAGAACAGGTAAAGGCTTGATAGTGGTGACTCTATCTTTTGATTATGAAAAAATACCAAAGATATAGAGCCGACCAGACAGGGACCCTCCCCGCAGCCTGGTTATTGTCATGGAAAGAATATTTTCCCCATGTAAATACGCCTTTATAATGAAAATGTTTCCTAACGTACTTTGAATAGCAAGCACGGTTTCCACAGAAATGACGTGTTCAGTGACGTGGAAGACTGCAGAACAGAACTAGGAGACAATTAATCGGTCACTGTTAATTTCGGCTTATAGCAAAGACACAGGAAGCTCTTCCTCAGTCATCGCCTCTGTAGCATGAACAAACTATTTTTATACCAAGTTCAGATTGAGCTGTTAATTTTAAATGTCTCTACATTTGGATGAGGTAAAGAGTCCTAAATTAGTATATTTGTGTTAAATGTGACATATGCCACAATATGGAAAGTGACATGGTTAAAATTTTTAACGCAGTAGACTCACCGTGTGTTGCAAGGCTGCAGCCGTGCCCTGGTGGGCCCAAGGTGGGCACTCCAGCCTCTGGGAGCCCCTTCCTCTGTAAAACATTAAGTAGTAAAAATTAGATTTTGTGAGTGCATTGGTATAAATAGGAATATAATAAAGGCTGGGTTCATTCTTATATACTCACTATACTAATTTTTCTTGTTCTGATTTCAAAATAGACTAAAATGAAAATTAAATAGACTAAAATTAGGGGTACATGGAAATGTACCCCTAAAAGTATGGTGGGCCCTATGTACCTTGCTGGACATGCCTCAACGAACAGTCAACCCACTGAATTGTCCTATAAAGTCACAAACAACCAACACCTGACCCAGGGAGGCTTGATCCCCTCATACCAGCCCCCCTCTGGCTACCACCGCCACCAACCACACACACACACACACACACACACACACACACACACCCTTTCACTCTGAAATGAAGGCCTTTGGGAAATAGTACATTTATTCTGGTTACGCTGTCATTTCTAAAGTTCTTTTAAACAGCTTCCTTTGGGGCCCTAAGACAAAAATATGAAATTTACCATTTGCTGTTAAAATAAAACTATCTTAGTGAAACTATTTTCCTACAAGAGAAGGGTTTGGTTTTCATAGTATCAAACTTTGAAAAAGCCTAAGTTTAAAGTTAAGTATCATCTTATATGTGTTTCATTAAAGTGCTTATTTTTTAAAAGGCTACGTAGCTAAATGGTCACCAAATTAAGATTGCAACCTTCTGCTAAATATTAAATTTTTCCCATTTTTGAGTGAGCAACATAGAGTTATATTTTCCCGTTCTCCAGAAACAAACAGTATCTCCTATCTTTTTCTTGCAGTATATTCTTTCTATAAGCAGAGAAAAGCTCAACAAGGATCTATTAACTGGTAAGTCCGACGCTTTATTCACCAGTTGTCATTTTCAGTATAACACATGAGACTAGTCTTGTCACGTGACTTACTGGGATTTGTTTACTATTTATTTTTATAATTATTAAGAGCAGGACAATATACAATACCAAGTCCTTCTTGAAAAGCAGTAGTGGTACATCCTCTGGCTGCCCTTTTTCATCTTTTCAATGATCTGAATGTGAATCATTTGTTCGATGTGTACTGAGTTCCTACTGCCTTGAGGCACCAGAGTGCTCTCCCTGACGAATAATGCACAGTCCAGTGGAACAACACATATACTCTCACGATTTGCAAAGTGACACAGTTAGACCTGCATTTCAGAAAAACAAAAAGCTGTGGTGTGGAGGCTAAGAGAGGGCCTCAAGAGTGTTGGGAGAGTCTCTGTGTCCAAAAAAAAATGAGGCGCTGGAGTAAAGCTATAGCAACGTGGTTGGAGGGAAGCGTGTAGATTCGTGGTATTTCTAGGAGACCTGGTAGATGGAGGGCGAAGGAGGTTGAGAAAGAAGAAGGCCTAAAATATAACCCTGAGGTTTCTAATGTAACTGAAAAGGCCTAGTCATTCATGGAAAAGCCCCTGGATTGGCAATTAAATCGGTAGCTTGGCAGATCGATCCAATCACATCCCATGTCGCCCTTGCTCATAGTAGTTCTTTCTCCTCTTCAGCATTTGCACTGAACATATTCACTCCCTGCAAAGCATCCCCCTAAAGTAATTCTCCTGGCTCCTAAATCTGTCCTGAGCAGTCCAGCTCAAGACAGCTCAGGTGATTTAGCTGCTTCTCCACAATTCCCCCTCCAAAGCCGGCTTGCAATATGTCTGTTGAATTGAATTCAACTGGAAAGAGGAATGATGGGGAAAGCCAATCTAGTTGATTCAGCAGGGACCTAAGAAATAGGGCTTAGTATCCTTAAGTCAATTTCTTTGCCTGCATTTTCAGGACTGTCTTTTGGATGGGCAGATGGGAGCAGTGGGGCTAGGTGACTAGATGGCTTAATAGGTTCATGTTGTTCTTTTTTTTAATACTTTATTTATTTATTTTTAGAGAGGAAAGGGAGGGAGGGAGATAGAGAGAGAGAAACATCAATGTGCAGTTGCTGGGGGTCATGGCCTGCAACCCAGGCATGTACCCTGACTGGAAATCGAACCTGCGACACTTTGGTTCACAGCCCGCGCTCAATCCACTGAGCTACACCAGCCAGGGCTAGGTTCATGTTGTTCTTAAGAAAATAAATAAACCAAAGAACACCTTTTAAAAATGTAGCATAGGTCACCTAGGACAATCTCTTTATAGTGTCCTCTGAATTTATTAGGATAAAAATAACAGCAAACATTCATTAAGGCACCAGGCACTATGTTAAGTGCTAAATATGCATCGATTTGTATGACCCTCCCAATAACTACGAGAGGTGGGAATTATCTTTCTCTAACCTGTACAGATGGTGAAGGAGGCTTAGAGGGCTGCTCAGCGTAACAAGTTGCACTGCTAATAAGTGGTAGAATCTGGACTTAAACTTGAGTCTGTTTACTCCAAAGTCCATGCTTTTAACTACTACCATCACTGCCCCCAATATTATATATGAAACGTCTGCTAATACTGAGGAGCGAACACACATAGGGAAGAAGCAGCCTCAGTGCACTTCAATGTGCTGCACTGCATGCAGCTTCTGAAACGCTGTAAATCCATTAGTAAAATGAACACTGAACCTCTTCTCTCCTAAACTTTGTTCAGAAAGTATGAGCCGCCCATTCCACAGGTCCAATCACTTGTCACTGTTCATTTCTCCTTGGCCAAACAGTCTCTGCTCTGAGCCATTCTGAGTAAAGCATTTTCCTGCATCAGCATTTCATGAGGGGTTCTATCCCACTGTGGTTCACTGCTCTGTGGGATGTTAGTAACTGTTCTGCAAGACGACCAGCAAAAGGACATGTGGTCAAGTGAGCCTGTAAGTCCTGCATCAAACAAGCTCTAAGTCTTTCTTCCCACAGGGATTCTCAGAGCTTGGTTCTACTGGTCTGCACGGCAGGCCTTCTAGGGCCGTCCGAGATGTAGTCTCAACGCCAGTCACATGTGTAATTTTAAATATTACGTTAGCCATATTAAAAAAAACTAAAAAGATGCAGGTGAACTTAACAATGTATTTTAATCTAATATATCCAAGTATTCCCATTTTAATGTGCAATCAATGTGACAGTTATTTATGAGATATTTTCATTCTCTCTCGCTCGCTCTCTCTCAGTACTAAGTTGTAAAAATTCAATGCATACAACACATCTGCATTCCGACCAGCCACACATTTCAAACTCAAGAGTCACAGGTAGCTAGAGACCTGGCGGTATGTCCAGGATGGCCAGAGAGTTAGCATTTCTCCAAAGGATTTGACCACACAACAGTTTCTTGTCTTGGAGGGACCACATCCCAGGACTATTGTCCTGTGGAAAATTCTTTGGGATGTATTAGGATACATTTAAGAAAAAAAATAAAATAGACTACAAAGATACATTTTGTGTTTGTGAAATATAGCCTTAGTCGTTCAGGGAAATTTTGATTTCCCTAAAATTATTTGCCAAAAGAGTTCTTACACATGAATAAGTCTTTGATTTATGGTCGCTCAGATTTCAATATTCTAAAATCTCCACTCTCGCATTCCAGAATCTTAAAGTCTTCAAACCCCAAATCACATTTAGTCAGAATGGAACAGAAGAGTCCAACACTTAGACAAAAAGGAGATAATCACGGGCAGGAATACTGAGTTGAAAGTCTGACTTTATTTTCTGTGATCTCAGGCATCTTCTTTTTCCTTCCAGGATCTTGGTTACTCCATTTATATGGTGTGGGCTCATTTCTACATCCTGATTTGTAGCTTTGGAAGCAATAAATAGCCTTCTAGAAGTAATTATAGCTTCCCTATCCTTAAGAATTCATAGGGGCAAAAATCATATTTTACTACTATGACAAGAACATGATTATTAGTTCAGAAGATGAAAATCACTAAATTCTATTGCTAGCTAGCTGGTGAATTAATAAAACACTAACATAACCTGATTCTATTTTTTGAGAAATTTCAAGTATTATTACTCATTTCCCCCCTTGGTGTTCCAGAGTGTGATTATAAAAAGAATGAGTGTCAATAATCTATATTTGTCACAACTTGGATTAGAAGTTCAAGTTGTAGAGACTTTGGTTGAGCATTTTCAACCACAAATGAAACCTTAAATTACAGGCAATTTTTAAAAATATGCAATGCCTGTTTCCTTTCCAGGGTGTCAATAATTACAGCAATGTAAGACTTTGCATAGTGGAGTTAGGTGGATTTTTTTTTTTAGATGAGAGTAGTTGATTTTTATTCATGCCTTTTACTATCAAATTATCCTACAGCATTTGCCAAATGTCAAATTCAGATTCAAATGTCAAATGTCAGATTCAAATGTCAAATTACCACTTCAATCATGTTTACATTGGTAAGAATAAATAGTTCTGTTGTCAGAAAATAATTAATATTTGAATTTGAATAAGTGAAGCAAGAATTGGAATTTTATTTTTGTTTGCTTTTTTTTGTTTCCTCAGCTATCGAGAAATATCCCAACGCAAAGGTGTACTTTGGCCACAGGCTGTTGAAATGTAATCCCGAGGAGAGAACCATCACGGTGCTCGGGTAATGAATGCCCCACAGCCTGTTGACTTCAGAGGGGAAAGGGAAGGGTTGGCGTGAACCGTCTCCGTAAACTTTGTTCTTTGGCTCTTTTGAAAGAGTTGAATTACTAAAAGGCTAATTCAGCTAGTTCCTAGATTTGCTGAGTTTTACATTGAAAAGAGACCTTAGATTCCTTCTGCCTAGGATGCCAGTGGTCCTCCTGCTCGCTCAGCCTCCCACATTCTCCCATAGTGGGGACCCCACACTGCGGACCCCACTCTGCTTCATGCTCTCTCCTTGCTGGAAATAGATGACCCTCCACAGCCCTGTTTCTCCTCTCTGTGTGGATGCTATTTGTCTGCTCTATTGCCTCCTAAGTTCCAAGTCTCCCATCCCACTCTGGCGATGGGTGTGTCATGGACTCCCAGTCCATCCAACATTTATAACCTCACATCTCTAAAAGGAACCTCTCTAGCCCAGGCCTGCACCTGCATTCTCAGTCCTAAATTCAGTCCTAACCAGTGTTAATTTCTCATGAATCATCTTCATGGGTACCTCTTGCCATACCTCCAACACATCTGAAACCTCGATCACCTGTTTTTCTCCGAGCGTGCCCCACTCCTGACTAGTTCTATCATCCAGGGAATCTGAATCACTGTCATGGGCCCCTTTCCCTATGTTCTCCTCATTTTTCTGCCGGCCTCAGAGTCTGTGTCTTCTTCCTGAGCACCACAGTCCTTGGCTGTCAGCCCTGCTTTAGGTAGGCTGCTGCGGTCACCTGGTGCCCATTTCCCTTCTCTTCCACATCCTGCGTCCACTTCAATCCATCTAGTGCAAGTGAGATTAAGTGACCACTTCTCATACATCAATCACCCAATTGAAAAAAATTACTTTTTCCCCTTTTGCCAGGAAAATATACTTAAACCTTTTGTCATAGCATCCAACATAATCTTCTCCCTTTTTCCCCTCCCAAACTATATTCTTTTCTTAAGCTTATCTCCCGCTACCCTCTGCTCAAGACAAATGTGTTCATTAAAAATCCTGGTCCTATCACTTCGGTGGTTCATACATTCCCTCCACGTGGAATGCTTTGCCTTCTTTTCAAGATTCTTTTCCTTCATGCAGGGAATTCAACTCTCAGACACACTTCCATGGCCTGGCGTGTGTTTATTAATCACTGTGGGTGTGTGTTATTCTCAGTCTCAGAAGAAAACCCGTGATAGAGGGTGTTACCATCTTTCTAGCTTGTCAAATGAAATCTGTAAGTCAGATTTGTAAAAGGGAGTAGTAGCCCTATTGACTTGCTACTTTTTATACACCCAGGTGGAAGTACATTATCATTTTGACCACTAGACTTTTTTGAAAAAAAAAATTGGATGGTTCATTTTATTTTTCAGATCGGATGAAGTTCCCAAAGATGTCACCTGTGACCTCATTGTAGGGTGTGATGGTGCCTATTCAACCGTCAGAGCTCACCTCATGAAGAAACCCCGCTTTGATTACAGTCAACAGTACATTCCTCATGGGTACATGGAGTTGACCATTCCCTCTAAGGATGGAGATGTAAGTCCTTTCCTTTCTTATCCCCTTTACACACGCCTGGCATCATAGTAGGGTGGAGGCATATTCTAGTGCGGTTGTTCCCAGTCTCATGTCTTAGTTTGGAGGATTGGCAAAGGATTTTGTCATTAGTAATAAATTGGGCTAGAGGTCCCTTTAATAATATCACTCTCTCTCCATCACCTTTGAGATACTTTCCTAAGAAGTAAAGAAAGAGAGGAATTATAACTATCCTACTGGAAACACACAGGGAATTTGTCTCAGATTATAATATCATTTCTCTGTTTTCTCTTGGGAGGAAAAAAGTGGGCTGGGAATCAATTCTGCACACTGACAATTGGGAGGTCTTATTCTCATGATTAAATTAATAATGGTTATTAAATAAAGTGAACAGCAAGTTGTTGCAAAGAGATTTCCAAGGAGTTTTTAGATTGAATTTATTGGGGTGACATTGGTTAATACAATTGCATAGGTTTCAGGTGTATTAGTCTATAAAATATCATGTGTATATTGTATTGCGTGTTCACCACCCCAAGTCAAGTCTCCTTCCGTCACCATTTCCCCCGTATACCCTCTTCAACCTCCCCCACCCCCCTTTTCCTCTTTAATCACCATACTGTTGTCTGTGTCTATGAGGCATTTGTGACTTAATCCCTTCACCTTTTTCACCCACCCCTCAACCCACTCTCCCTCTGAGAGCTGTCAGTATGTTCTCTATCTGTGCTTCTGTTTCTATTTCGCTTGTTTGTTTATTTTGTTCATTAGATTCATGAGTGAAATCATATGGTACTTGTCTTTCTCTAACTAACTTATTTCACTTAGCATAATGTTCTCCAGGTCCTTCCATGCCCTGGCAAAGGATAAGATTTCCTTCTTTTTACAGCCAAGTGATATTGCATTGTGTCTATGTATACAGCTTTTCTATCCACTCATCTACTGATGGGCACTTGGGCTGCTTCCAAATATTGCCTATTATAAATAACGCTACAATGAACATAGTGGGGCATATATTCTTTCAAATCAGTGTTTCAGGTTTCTTTGGATAAATACCCAGAAGTGCAATCACTGGGTCACAAAGCAGTTCCATTTTTAATTTTTTAAGGTATCTCCATACCACTTTCTACAGTGGCTGCACCAGTCTGCATTCCCACCAGCAATGTGAATGGGTTCCCCTTTCTCCACATCCTCACCAGCACTTGTTATTTGTTGATTTATTGATGACAGCCATTCTGACAGGTGTAAGGTGGTATCTCACTGTAGTTTTAATTTGCATTTCTCTAGTGATTAGTGACACTGAGCATCTTTTCATATGTCTATTGGCCATCTGTATGTCCTCTTTGGAGAAGTGTCTATTAAGGTCTTTTGTCCATTTTTAAGCTGGATTCTTTGTTTTTTGGTGTTGAGTTTTATAAGCCCACTATAAATTTTGGATATTAACACCTTATCAGATGTATCATTGGCAAACACATTCTCCAAGGAGCTTTCTGGTTCCCTTGTTGCCATGTTAAACCATATACAGCCTGAGAAAAATATTGCAGGAAATAATAAATCAGTCAGCTGTCATTCTGATGCGGACCCCAGCTCATGGGGTCTGCCACATTGTGGATGAGACACAAGACATTCACACAGACTACCGAGTCCTGTGGAAGAAAAGGGTAAGCATGGCTTCTCTCTCAAGGGGAGCAAAAGCCGTAGCCTCCGCCATGACAGGGCCTTTACTGGGTTTCTCGGGCCATTACATGATGGTCCTCATTTACTATGCACAGGTTGGCTTTAGGTGGTTACCTTTTACAGAAAACAAAGGAGCTGCTGCTGCTAATCACATCACAGAAGAGGGATATTTGCAAATGAAAAGGGAAAAGTAGTTGAACTGGTTATACTTGTCCTTGGAAGGTTTAGCATGGATTTTAGGAAGTTACAGTAAGCATTTGCTGTCTCAATTCAGGGTGAGAGAGTTTTAGCAAAAGCAAGTCTCAAAGAGGCCTAGGTATATTGCAGGCCTGACTCCCCACGAGAGAACCTATCCGTGGGCATGTGTCCTGTGCATCTCCGAGTGGGAGCTGGGTCCATGCCATGCAGAACGGCCTCCTACATCATTCCTCTGCTCTTTCTTATCTTTTGGAGCTCTAAGACATTGTAGGGGTTGTCAGAAGATGGCAAGAGAGGAAAGCAAGGGCATCGGCCTGCCCCAGGCTTCTCTCCTTACTGCCCATCTCTGTACTGCGCACTCATGCAGCCCTACTTCGCCCAGCAGCTCACCCTCCCCCTGGAGCCCCTTCCCTTTGCCCCCGTAGAATCCCTAAGTCCCCTGTTTTAACCACTCCCACCCCACAAATTTCTTTCTTTTCTAAATTATTTTTAAAACTTATTTATTTGTGTGTGTTTTTTGTATTTTTAATTGTTTTTTTCCCATTATCATTTATCCCCCTGCTCAACTCTTACTTCCTCTATTTCTAATTCAGCACCAAATCACCTACTGTCTCTCTATCACTTGAATTGTTGTTAAAGGCAAATTATTTGGCTTTCCTTATGGATACACGTTGCCAATTCAACTGCTCTGTAAGATCTTCAAGGTCAAAGAGTTACATATATGTTCACTCCTATGTCTATGTACTGGGCTTCCTTTGGGTCCCTGGGGATTAAAAAGCCAGGAAGGAATTGTCTCTTCCCCTAAGACACAAATAACTGTAACAAAGTATGAAAATGTCAGCCAGGAAGCTGTTCCGTGCTTCCTGAGTTCTTCTTTCTATGTAAAATATACACATGGTAGCCCTGGCTATTGTGGCTCGGTGAATTGAGCATGGGATGGGAATCAAAATGTCACAGGTTCAATTCCCAGTCAGGGCACATGCCTGGGTTGCAGGCGAGGTCCCCAGTGGGGGCCATGTGAAAGGCAACCACACACTGATGTTTCTCTCCCTCCTTGTCTCCCTCCCTCCCCCTCTCTCTAAAAATAAATTAATTTTAAACACACATACACACACATAGTAAGTACTTTCTAAGCATTTGTAAAAAGTAATGCAAACTTGAAATAGTTGGGAAATAGATTGGATATTCTTGTATATATAAAATATCCTTGGGAACATTTAAGGTTTGGGTCAGTTGGGTCTTGGGTTCATTGATCTACCCAAGTAATCAATACTTACTCAGGTTGCTATTGTGTTATAGAAGGGTCACTAAGGAGACCAGACTGCTCCACTATTTATTTTGTGAGAAACGAGATAAGAGGCTTACTTGCAAAATTTGGTTTTGCCCATAAAAATTAAATTAGGACCTTGCCGTCATAGAAATGTGTCCCCAAATAAGATGAAAAGTATAAAAATATTATACACACATATAATATATGTATATCCATACATGTGTATATGTGTGTATATATGGAAACAAAGAGAAGGAAGAGAGAGAGAGCATCTTATAGCCTGTTCTCAAATCTTCAGTTGTACCTAGTGTCAAAAACTCATCACTGGCATACAGAAAACAGAGTATTGATTTTAAACTTTTTGAAGTCAAGTGATCAAGTACATTTGTAATAAAAGGCAATCAATGGTTCTATTTTGAAAACCTCACCTAAGTGTGAGTTTATAAAGACAGAACACAAAGTGTTTTCTAAGACTGGTTCTTTCTAATATGGAAATAGACATGCATATCACTATGAATATGATTCAGATCTAAACTGGTGTGGAAACAATGATAAAACAAGCAGAGTGCGTTAACATGCTAATCAGGTATATGTACATGTCTTCCGCAGTATGCCATGGAGCCTAATTATCTGCACATTTGGCCTAGAAACACCTTCATGATGATCGCACTTCCTAACAAGGTAGTGTAGAGTCTCGCATCAACGGTACTTTTGTATCTATAGTTCGTGTTTTTTACTGTTTACTTCTGCACTTAGTATGTGTAAACCTAAGTAAGCTCATCACTGTTTGGTCTATTGAGTGATTACATCCTGAAACTTCAGGATGCCTGAGGAAAATCCTGAAGCCGCTCCAATGATTTACTTTGCAAAGAAGATTTGACATCCACTAGTGGGGGGTTGGTGTGTGGGGCCTGCCATCTTTCCCGAGATGCTGTAGGAAGTAATGTCCCCCAAATAAAGCCAAAGAGACTTAGGTCATATATTAGAAAGTACTTTAAGCCTTTAAGATTTATAAAACATTGGAATATAGATTATAAATAAAGAGGATGGCAGTTCGTTCATTAGACCCTACACTTTTTTGATACATAAGTATATAAAATACATACAGTGTCCGGCAGAAGTAACGCCTGCTTGAGTGAGGATGGTAGGGTAATAATATGGGTGTAATAATTTATAGTTTTAATTTGAACATTTCACCCAAAATGTCATATGGTGTGCTTGAGTGTGATATTGTTATGTTACAGAATTTCATGCTTATGATTTTGTAATAAAAGATTTTATAATAAAAATGGGGCATTATTTGTGCAGGACCCTGTATATTCCCATTCTTATTTTATTATTGTTATTATTATTATGTAATATAGATAGATATAGCTATCTGTTTCTCTGGTTGGTCCTTTTCTTTCTCCCTCTTGTTATCAGTCCTGAGGTCTGATGCTTATTCATACTGTCATAAAAGGAGCAGTAGAAGAAAAAAAGGAGGAGAAATTAAATCCAACCAACCTATTAGCAATCTAAGGTTTAGTATTTACTTAGTGGAAATTTCTGGAGTTTACAGGGTAGAAACTCTCCTAGTAACCAAGAAGCTGGGGAGTGGCCCTGAGGCTGGGCAGAGCTTTTCTTTGGAAGTCAAGGGAAAAGGCCAGGGTGCTTTCCTGTGTGCTGGGACATTCCTCCCAGGTGCCTGTCACCAGCCACAGCAAGACCCCTGCTGTCTAGGGACCCACCTTTGCGCCCACACCACGGCCTCCTCTTCCCTCTCACACCGTTCTTTTTTCTCACAGGACAAATCTTTCACGTGCACTTTGTTCATGCCCTTTGAGGAGTTTGAAAAACTTCAAACTAGTCGAGATGTGCTGGCTTTCTTTCACAAGTGCTTTCCAGATGCCATTCCTCTAATTGGAGAGTAAGTTTCAAGATGTGCTGTTTGCTCCATTGGTTTGAGTCATTCAAAATTCGAATGCAGGTGATGTGCCTTATTTCCATTTAGCTTAAGCAAAGCCGGCTGCACAGCAACCTAGCCATGAAGGCTCTATTAGCAAAAGTGGACTCTGTGCTATGAGCAGCTAGCCAAACAAGCCCGGGCCCTGGCCAGTTTCTCTGGGAGACAAGTCACTGATGTCCCTTGGCCTTCCTATATATCCTGTGCAGGCTCTCCAGCCCCTGATAGACAAGCAAATCTGTGACATATAGGGTACCAGCAGCCTCAAGTTCAGGTTTACCACTCAATAGCCATTTAAGCTTCCCAACAGCTCCGCCCCTCCCAGTAAAATGACGATAATACTAGTACTGCTCCTGCCCCAAAGGGTTACAGTGAGGACTAAAGGACACCATGCCAACAAATCATTCAGCCCAGGGCCTGGCTCACATCAAGTTCAAGGTTGACAGTTAATTGTATCAGCTGTCTGGTTTAGATCCCCCGGCTGCCCGGGCCCATGTCAGCATCACCTACCACGTGAGCTGCTGTCATCCGGTCTCACTCAGTACCTGTGTCCTCACCATCCCTCCCTCCCGGAACCCAGCTCAGTTGCCCCCTCCGGCAGTGTCTTCCTGGAGACAGCATAAGGCTGCAGAAAGAGCACGATTTTAATAGTTCTCTGTCCTTTACTTCCCTGAGTCTCAGGTTTTTCACCTTTAAAATGGGCACCAGGATACCTACTTTTTAGAGCAGTTGTGAAAACTCAATGAGCCAACTGTGGTGAAGGGATCGCCACTGCCAGCCTGTAGTGGGTCCTTGAAAAATTGTCAGTTTTCATCCCTTCCTGCTGATTAATTCCGTCTGTACTCCTCTCTCTCTCTCCGACCTTGATGGAAATCTGTCTGGCACCAAAATGTAACTCATACGTCCCTTGGCTATTTCTTGCCTTTCCAACCAGATTTAAGACCCAGATTTATATACTGTTTCTCCAAGTATGCTTCCACAAACCTCTGTGGATGCTTTTCACACACTAGCTATGATTTACAGCTGTCCACTTTCAAATACATATATATTCACATTAATTTTCATTTTGGTGTGTTGGGGTTTAATCCAATGCATGGCAACATCTTGATGTGTCCATAACCTAAAACATACCAATATACTGAAAATTGCATGACCCACATACAAGACATTCTTATGACATAAAAATGCTGACATATTTCAGATTACCGACATGCAACCAAATGTGCTCTTTTCAAATGCAATGAACACCGTGGCAAACCAAGAAGGTCATTAGGACGATGGAATTTGGGGACTAGAAGACACGCCAGTTCCTCCCTTTCCTGTTTTCTTCCTGGTGTTCTTGCGTATCCGTCAGTAAAATCCTAGTGATAAAGCCAGTAAATGTGACAGAAGTGAGCACTACTTTCTACCCCATTTAACATCTTTACACTCTATTTTTCTCTGAAGGCAAAACCTGACGCGAGATTTCTTTCTGTTGCCCGCCCAGCCCATGATCTCCGTGAAGTGCTCGCCTTTCCACTTCAAGTCACACTGTCTGCTGATGGGAGACGCGGCTCACGCCATCGTGCCCTTCTTCGGGCAAGGGATGAATGCGGTAAGTTCTTTTCCCCGGGAAAATCCCAACCAAAAGCTCTTAAATTAAAATAATAATAATAATAATAATAATAATAATAATAATAACAATAATAATAATAATAATAAAATCATGTCTAGGCCCTGGCCAAGTAGCTTAGTTGGTTAGAGTGTCTATCCTGATAGGCCAAGATTGTGGGTTTGATCCCTGGTCAGGGCGCATACAAGAAGTAAGCAATGAATGCATAATAAGTGGAACAACAAGTCCATGTTTCTCTCTCTCTCTCTCTCTCTCTCTCTCTCTCTTCACCTTCCTCTCTCTCCAAAAATCAATACCTTATCCTTGGGTAAGAATTAAAAAATAATGTCTCAAACTATCCCCACAGAATCTCTGAGAACACAATCAATTCAACAATCATAGCGGCTGTTTAGCTAGATTCGGCACTAATTATGGGTGTCTTGAATTGCTTAATCTAGTACTTGAATGTAGAAAAAAAGCATAAAGCCTAAAATGATTATCTGTGCAGTTAGAAAATGTATCGGTTGCCTAAGATTTGGAGACTTGCCTATCAGCAGTTCAAGACTTGATTCTTAAAATATTTTTTCTAGATATTATGCATAGCTATGTAAATGTTAGACTCAGAGAAAGAAAATATCTCAAATTATTCTTTTTCCATCACTTTTTCTTTCCAAAAGAAAGGAAAACACACTTGACAGGGTTAAATTAAACTATAAAACAGATTACATGTTGAACGCTACTGCTTTCCTGGAAATTTTATCTTTCTGGCTAGAACACCATTTCAGAAAAGAAATAGTGATCAGATACAATGTGTATGTTTGATAACTAAGAGTTTTATAATTATAGTCTTTTTTATTGTTTTGGTGATTGGGATATATTCCAAGTACAAACAGGTTGTGAATCTAATCAATTATACATTCTACAAAGCAGTGGCTAACACTATGTTTTATAAAAACATAAATACACACTAACTTTACTGGATAAAAGCCCAGGCTCTGGATTCAAAAGGCCTGGGGTCAAACCCTAACTCCACAAATTGTTCAAATATGTTATTGCACAACTAAGTTATCTTCATTTCCTTATCTGTAAAAGTGGGATTTTAATAGTACCTACTTCCTAGAGATTCTTGGGGAATAAATGAGTTAATTAAGTAGAGAATTTTAAAAGTGTTATCTCAGCTCTATATGGCATCTCTTGCATCTAAATTAAGTCTATATAATCGACAAGTAAATTTATTTGCTTCAGATATAACCTCTGTATTTGATGTGAAAATTACTTTATTTTTTAACTTTGACATGCTTTATATTGTCTCCAAAACTGTAGCCTGAATTCCTAGAAAGCAGGAAACAGATTTGATTTCCTTCTTCCCCACTGTATTTTGCATAGTACCTTACTGATTTTGTAGAGCTCTTAATACTGGAAGCTTGCTTTACTTTTGGCCCATAGGAACTAAATTAATATGAGAGTTCTATCCTGTCATTAAATTGCTCAAAATATGAATCTTAGAGACCTGAACAGTTTAAATATAATTCTAATACTCAGGGTAAAGCAATATAATTATTCTTGCTTCTTGAAGAAGCAATGGGATCCATCAAAATTATAAGAGTAATTTAAATTTTGATCAAATTCCAAATCACTATAAATAACACATATGAACCAGACAAAGGCAAAACCATCAATAATGCAGTTGGTGGTCTTGAGAAATCCTCATTCAATGCCAGGTGCGACTGACTATTCAGCTGGTGTGACCTTGCGGAGGGTAAACATCCTATGAACTATTGGTGGAAGGTCTATTCAAAACTGCCAAGAAGCTTTTATTCTTTCCAGTTTATTTTTTCCCATTTTTCTTATTTCAGGGCTTTGAAGACTGCTTGGTATTTGATGAGTTATTGGATAAATTCAATAATGACCTGAGTAAGTAAAATTTCTCAGATGGACATGGACCGGTCCTGCTGATCGACTGTGGACCTCTTTCTGATCCTGGATGATCACACACCCACTGTGCCTACTTCCCGTTCAGCATTATACATGTTTCTATCAATAGCCTCTGCTACTGTTGTTGTCCATATCAGACGAGCACCTAGAGAGGGAGACATTCCAGTCCTCCAGCCTCGATTTCAGTCCTGACTCACCAACTTACAAGCTGTGTGACCTTGAGCGAGTCACGTCACCTTTTTAAAGTCTCGAGTGTGCTTTTTTCCATCTATAAAGTTGTGATAATAATACCTTCAGAGTATTGCTTCAGAGAGTCGTTGTGAATTAAATAATTTGTGTAATGCTTTAAAAAAAAAAAGCTGGCACAAAGTAAGTTCCCGGCGATGTTGTAGGGAGTCATTGGCACTGTGGTGTCTGGATCAGCAGAGATCACAGCTTCCGGGGCAAATTGCTGGTGGTTTTCTTCCTTTCTTTCCCAGTCGTTTTATTCAGACGCTGGGCATCCAGAGGTGTATTGTTTCCTCCCTTCTTTGCCCTCAGTGATTGGTCTCATCTGCTAACAACAATGGAGGTGGATGGAGGGTTCATGTGGCAGAACATACTGTCAGTAGTGGCTTTGGGTACTAGGCAACAAAGATCAATAATAATGCGACAATAGTAATCGTAACTAACATCACTGAATAGTTCATATGAGTTGGGTAACTTGATGTTCTTTTAATGCATTGTTTCATGGGGTCCTCAATGGAAATCATGGGGCATGCACACTCTTGTTGTCTTAATTTACAACTGAGGAAACTTAAGCTGAGAAACTGTTGCCCAAGTCATGCAGCTGAGAAGTGGTGATTTGTACCCAGGTTCTCTGACTTTAGAAACAACTCCCTAAGTAACTAGACTTGTCTGGCCATCCAAAAACTGTATTAGTTAGTTATTAATGTACCAAGTACTTATTTGGTATTTAAGATATACCAGGTTAAGATTTCAAACAGGAATGTAGCACAGGGCCTGCTTCTGGGAGATCACAGCCTGATGGGGGGCCTGCAGTTTAAGCTAATAGGGTGTCTCAGGTGCAGTGAAAGTTGGCACATCGGGTAGCAAGGGGGGACATATAGAAGGGGGTGGGGGTCGTGCACACTCATGTATATGAACTGCTTCCCGTTCGTGACATAAGGAAGATAATGCCTTACTAAACAACCAGTATACATTATATGAACTTTATCATAAGTTTTACTTAATCACAATAGGAAATACTTATGTGTCACTGCTCAGTATTCCTTGGTTGCTGGTCATGCAGCCAGCCTGGTTACCCATAGTTGTAAAAGGTTAGAAAGAATACACTATTTAATTTTACCTCGGTGGAGTCCAGCAAAGTTTTTACAGACTGTCTTAGAAACATTGCATTATTTTACTTGGCTTCCAGGTATGTGTCTTCCTGAATTCTCAAGACTTAGAATTCCAGATGACCATGCGATTTCGGACCTATCCATGTACAATTACATAGAGGTGAGCGAGAGGGCGTGGCTCTACTCCCTGTGGTCTTCACTGAAACTCTGACAAGTGCTCTTTTAAAAAATTTAAAAAATAGGTACAAAAGAACACACACACACACACACACACACACACACACACACACAGCATTCCTTACACACAGGTGGATCGTGACCATGTACACAGTGACAATGACCTGTGCACGTCACCTCTATCTATACTTCAGTGACATGTGGGAGGTAACAGAGATGACACAGTGTCTGATTCAGTCTCTGATCATTCACAAGCTCAAACCTTAGACATTGAGTAGTTCGTAATATGCTGTTTTAATGAAAATATACCTTGAATAGGGGTTCGTTAATACATTGGAAAAGTCTGAGAAATGTCAAATGGACTTTCCACTCTTATCATTATAAACTGCACCCTTAGAGTCACATTGAACTTCCTTTGGGGTATTACATATTGAAAAAGAAAAAAGTAATGCTAAAAAAATCATGGTCAGAAGCCCTGGCTGGTGTGGCTCAGTGCATTGAGTGCCGGCCTGTGAACCAGAGGGTCACTGATTTGATTCCCAGTCAGGGCACGGGCCTGGGTTATGGGCCAGGTAGCAAGTAGAGGACGTGAGAGGCAACCACACATTGATGTTTCTCTCTCTCTCTTTCTCCCTCCTTTCCCTGCTCTCCAAAAATAAATAAATAAAATCTTGGAAAAAAGAAATCATGGACAGAAAATTAATTACATGAAGAAAACCATAATTCCATTTGAGCCAGTCACATGAAGAGGTCACAATAGATTGTGGTTATAGTTTTAAATGTTTAGTTTAAATGCATAGTTCATGTTTAGCCTAAATGTATATTTAAAAGATTTTTATCAGATAAATTTAAAGAAGAGAGTGTTGCCGTTTTCCTTCTTTTTAAAGCCAGAAAGTAATAAAGGGGACTTCCATTTGAGCAGAGTAGTTTCATATGTGGTAAAGGAAGTTCTATAACATACTAAACGGCTCATTAATGTGTCTTTCCCGTGTCATTAAAAGCAAGACAGCTACAACCCAATATTTGTTCTGAAGATGGAGTACCTTTAAACAGATACTTCCCTGCCATAAACAGTATTCCAAACCAACCAGGAAGCAACAGAAATTAGTTAAATCTCTGGGCTCACTGAGTACTCACAGATCCAGCTGAAGAAACTGCAGTTCCCATATACACCTCTGAGCAAAACAGAGTTTTCCAACAGGTTTGGTATAATTGCTCTACCTTTTCATGATAATGACCTCTACTGCTGAGAATTACCAAAAGGGATTGGGAATGGAGATTTTGGAAATAAGAACTTACCTGACTACTTTGTGTCTGGCTTTATGATGAATAAGAATAAAAAAGCATTCATAAGTTATTGTAAAGAAAGAAAGGTATTTTGTCCAAGGTGTTCCTGAAACCTCTTGCATTATTGCAGATGCGAGCACACGTCACCTCAAGATGGTTCATCTTCCAGAAAAATGTGGAGAGATTTCTTCATACTATCATGCCCTCCACCTTTATTCCCCTCTACACCATGGTAAGGTCCTCCACCTTCATCCCCATCTATACCATGGGAAGGTCCTCCACCTTCATCCCCATCTATACCATGGGAAGGTCCTCCACCTTCATCCCTGTCTATACCATGGGAAGGTCCTCCACCTTCATTCCCCTCTACACCATGGGAAGGTCCTCCACCTTCATCCCCATCTATACCATGGGAAGGTCCTCCACCTTCATCCCTGTCTATACCATGGGAAGGTCCTCCACCTTCATTCCCCTCTACACCATGGGAAGGTCCTCCACCTTCATTCCCCTCTACACCATGGGAAGGTCCTCCACCTTCATCATTCCTCTCTACACCATGGGAAGGTCTGAACTTAAGCCTTTACCTTATTTTAATTTTCTGACTAGCCATTAAAGAATGCACTGAGTACTGGTACTCTTTAAACTTTCTTACAGGTCACATTTTCCAGAATAAGGTACCATGAAGCAGTGCTGCGCTGGCATTGGCAAAAAAAGGTTGGGACAGACTCAATTTTTTTGCTTGTTTTAAATCTGATGTGTCGAGATACATAGCATTTTGGTTATGTGTGCTTCAGGCATGTAAAGAAATGAAGTGACTCACACGGAATGTTTGCCTTCCAAATGAAAAATGCCCTGGGTACACAGAAGGCAGTGTGCTTCACAAAAGAGGCAAAGGGAGTGAGTGAGAGCTTTGGAAAGGAAGATATTTTAAAAAAACCCAAATTGGTGCTAATTCTAACCTTTTTACTTTTTTTTATCAAAGTGACTTTTTACTTTTATGTATCAATTGACTTTTGCTCCATGCAATACTCGTAGGGGTTTAATTTGTAAAACTGGACAAAAATAAATCACTTATAAAAAACATTCAAGTTCTAATATAATGCTATCCCATATTCATTTTGGGCAGTTGGCCTAAAGAAGCCAGTAAATAGACATTCAGATTTCTGATCTTCCATTTTGGAAATTTTACAACTTCACGCACTCAACAAATAGTTGTATTTAGTGTAGAGACTGGGCTGGGCATGGTAGTGAACAAGAAATAGTCCCTATACTTCTCATAGCTCAGAGACTAGGGGGAGAATGGACAAGTGCAGTGGAAATATACAAACTGCCCATGGAGGAGAGTGGGAACAGGCCAGAACACCAGAAGCTGAAGAAACCTCTCATGTGTTCAGAGTGAAAATGGTAAGTATTTCAGGGGAGCTGGAAGGTACCACATACATGTGAAAATGGCTAAAGCAAGAGCTGGAATCGTAAGAAAGCCTTAAACACCATTTTTTAAAAAGTTATTAAGGTATAATTGACATAACATTATATTAGTTTCAGGTATACCATGTAATGATTCAATATTTGTATATATTGCAAAAGGATCACCACAATAAGTCTAGTTAACACCCATCACCACACATGATTAACAAAATTATTTTTTCTTGTGATAAGAACTTTTAAGATCTACTCTCTGAGCAACTTACCAGGACTTACTTGCTCTGAGCTCTGTGCTGGGGCAGCAGCTCTATAGGTGCCAGGGACATATGGAGAGGCAGAGAGCTGGAGGGGCAGCTATTTCTCAAACAGAAGTGCTGGCAGAAGCCATTGTTTCCTTGCTGAGCCCTCTCCCAATTGAGCTGGCAGAGATAGGTGAGCACCTTATCTGAGTTTTTATCAACCTGGCTACACCTTTCACACCATTAGCACTGTTTGTCCCACCCAGGTGAGTCCCTGAGACCCCACCCTACCCAAATTGAGGGTCCACCCAAGCCATTTCCAGTGGCTTTCCCATGCAAATGGCCTGTCTTGGCTTATGCTGCAAACATTTCTAAAATCTCCCAAAGGTTCACAAACCCCAGCAGCTGGTCTCAGCATGTATCTTTTATCTTGCTAAGTGGCCCTGGGCCCAGCACTAGTAGCAGCCAGCCTTGGTTTGCAGCTTGGCCTCTCCCAGGCACTTCCAAGGCCATCCTAAGTAGAGCCATCTACAGATTGCTTTGTAGCTCAGGTGGCCCCAGGCAGGGCACAGGTGGTGGCTGACCTCAGCCTGCACCTCCTAGGAGGCCCCAGAGCCAACATGCCCAGTGGCCAGCTTCAGACTATGCCAGAGCACCGCACAACCGGCTCCACCAGTGACACATCAAGGGGAAGACTGGTAGGGCACAAGAACCCCACGGAAGCAAGTCTTGCTCTGTGGAATAGGCCCCTGCACAGCAGATTCTCCACTACAGTTGTAGCTGGTCCTTGCAACAAAAGGATCTGGGGGTAAATCCTTCCCAGTGATGTTCCACTTAATGAAACAATCAAGTTTCAACTACAGCAGAAGGGTACACACAGCCAACACATGAGCCAACGCCTGGAGCTCTCAGCTTGGGTGACTAGGGAGGCTGGGCCTCTGGGCCTTACAGGACATCTGTTACATAAGGTCACTCTACTAAGCCTGGGAGACACAGCAGCTCTACCTAATATACAGAAGCAAACAGGGAGGCTGCCAAAATGAGAAGACAAAGAAACATGACCCAAATGAAAGAACAGAACAAAACACTAGAAAAAGAACTAAGCAAAATGAAGGCAAGCAATCTACCAAATGCAGAGTTCAAAACACTGGTTATAATGATGCCCAATGAACTCAGGAAAAGAGTAGTGAAAACTCTTAGTGAAAACTCTTTCACTCTTAGTGAAAACTTCAACAAAGAGATAGGAAACACAAAAATGGAGGTAGAAAACATTTAAAAATAGTGAAAAATGCAGAATACAAGCACTGAAATGAAGAATACGTTATAGGGAATCAACAGTAGAATAGATGAAGCAGAAGATGAAATCAGCAATTTGGGAAACAAAGAAGCAGAAAACACCCAATCAGGACAGCAAAAAAAAAAAAAAAAAAGAATCCAAAACAAAATGAGACTAACCAATGTCACCCCAATAAACTTAGTAAAAAGTAAATGGCAAAAATAATGACAATAGCTTAAGGGGCATCTGGGACTACATAAAGTGTACCAACATTTGCATCATGGAGCTGCCTAAAGCAGAAGAGAGAGAGCAAGAAATTGAAAACCTATTAGAAAAAATAATGACAGAAAATTTCCCTAACCTAGTGAAGGAAATAGACATACAAGTCCAGGAAGCTCAGAGAATCCAAAACAAGATTAACCCATAGAGGCCCACCCCAAGACACATCATAATTAAAATTCCAGTGTTTAAAGACAAATAGAGAATTTTAAAAGTAGCAAGATGAATGGATAAAGAAGAAGTGGTGTATATATACAATGGACTATGACTCAGCCACAAAAAAAATGAAATTTTGCCATCTGCATCAACATGGATGGACCTAGAGGGTATTGTACTGAGTGAAATAAGTGAGACAGAGAAAGACAAATGCCATATAATTTCATTTTTTTGTGGAATCTTCAAAAAACAAAACAAAATAAATGAACAAGCAGAACAGAAACAGACTCATAGATACGGAGAACAGACTGATGGCTGCCAGAGGGGAGGGGGGTTTAGAGGGGTGAGTAAAAAAGGAAAAGGGATCAAGAAGTGCAAATTGGTCGTTACAGAACAGTCATGGGGATGTGAAGTGCAGCATGGGGAATATAGTTAATATTGACCATATTCCCCATGCTGTAATAACTGTGTGGTGTCAGAGGGTTATTAGATTTATCAGGTGATCACTTTGTCATTTACATATATATCTAATCACTGGGTTGTACACCTGAAACTAATATAATGTTATACATTAACTATAATTAAATGTTTAAAATAATTAAAAAATGGGTAGAAGACCTCAATAGACATTTTTCCAAAGAAGACACACAGATGGCCAACAGGTACATAAAAAAGTGCTCTGCATCACTGATCATCAGGGAAATGCAAATCAAAGCCACAATGAGCTGTCACCTCACACCTGTCAGAATGGCTTTCATAAACATCTTGAATATTAACTTGAGGGAAGCAGGGAGACCGAAGGAAGCTAATAAACTCAGGTGCAGATTGTAGAAAGATTACTTTGCTGTGTGGAGAATGGATTGGAAGGAACTGAGTTTACTCATCCAGAGTTGAATAAAACAGGGCCCCCGCCCTCAAGGAGCTCACAGTGTAATAGGGGAGAGAAATGGTGACAGGCGGTTAGAATACAGGACAATAAGTACAGTGACAGAGGCCAGGATGATATGAGAGTGTACCTCACCGATGCAGTTGATATGCTGCAGGTGGTAAAGACACTGCATTTAAACTCTTTGGGTGTGTGTCTTCTGAGTCATCGAGGCCACCAGGTGCATCACTCTTCTCATGGACACCTAGTGCAGGGTCTGAGCAATGGATTGTTTGTGGCTCCAGCACAGTACTCTCCTAAGAGTTCATAGCTCTTTTTCTAAACTGGATTTCTTAATGACCATACAAAAGTTCGCTGCTAAGAATCCCTTGTACAGAACACATGGATTCAGGTGTCTCTGGAAAGAGAGAAAGGAAGGAAGCTCCAAATTCTTGACGTTCCCAGCCATTGCAAGACTACCTAGTCGTCATGAAATTAAATTGCTGTTTCAGGTTCAAGAACAAAGGGGGAATTGTATACTCCTTGGTCATTTAAGAATAAAGTTTATCTCAAGATTTTAATCTCTGCACAAATAATGTGAGTTCTTGCTGTCCCTACAGGTGATAAACAAAGGATTCTATCTCTTTGGAGCACTGACAGTCATGGGGACTACCTATCTGCTTATGAGCTCCGTGTCACCGAGACTCCAGGACTACTTGAGAAGACCATGGGACTGGGTCACTAACTTTCAGAATACAGGACATGTTGTCCTGCCAACTCCATGGAGTCACTAGAACAAATCTCCAATGTCACTAGGAGGTGATAGAGGTGCTACAGTAGCAAATATACTTGATTTCTCTGTAATCGAATTGAAGGATCAAAACCATGTCTCCCGTCATCAAATTTAATTCACTAATGGAAGACATCTGTCATCCTGGCATTAAATTCAGTGTAGAATTACTTTATGTGTTCATTGAAACTATATATTTTTTAAAGCTGCCACTTGAAGGTGCAATGAGCAGCTTCCCAAAACACTATGCTTATGTCTAAATATAAAAGTGCAGTAACTAATACGGCTTTCACTTCTCAAAAAGTGAGGCCCTAGAGACGTCGAGGAAGACACGGATCACACACGTTCTTGAATGGAGGTAACAGAGATCATGACAGGATTTGACTCGATACCTGGGACTAAGTATTCCAGTGTGCCTTACAATGTTAATGACACTTTTGATCACGCGGATGGAACTTATCAAAGCACAGGGCTCGGGTTCACTTGATGAAACTAGAAATGTAAATGAAAAATGGGGGACTTTCTAGAGAGTTCACAATGAGTTGATATTATTTCCCAGTCTTCAAAGGCCAGTGGTATCTTCTGAAGACTAGAAAAGTCTATGAATGCCATGCTAAGCGAAGGAGAGAAAGGATTGTATTTATGAAGGAAATACCTACATAGACAAGAGAAGACAGAGGAAACAGAGGGAGATGGTATTTGTATAAATAGGAAGGCATATTTTATTCCATTTCAGACTTTTGGAAGCAGGTACTACTAACTTGAACTACATGCTGTTGCACAACCAGATATAAAGTGATTTTGTCCAGTGAAAAATGTATTCTGTGTTTCTTCCTTCTTCAAAAGTCCAACTGAATCATTTAGGAGTCTTTCAAACATGATTGACTATGAAAATGCAACACTAGTAGGACAGTCATCTAAGAAATAAATAGGAGGCAATAAAATAAATACAACCATTTATCACTGTTTCTTCTATATAGTGTCAAAGAAATCCTTCAGTTCTAATAATCCATGGTTAATCTAAACAAGGACTCATGGGAAAATGGCCTCTACACTATTAGTTATCCAGTAGCTTGACTGAACAGTAATAAAGATTAAAGAATATATTTTATTAGCACAGTTCTACATTTACTTTCGTCCCCCTACAAAAGTAAGCTTGTTTGTTTTTTTGGAACTCTATCTTTAAATTAAATCCAGAACTCTTGGCAAAAGGGTGGAAAATTATTAAAAAGAGAGGTACTCTTGCCATGTTCATGTTTGAAATGATATAGATTCAAGGGTGTCCAACCCGTGGCCTGCGGGCCACATGAACCTCAGGTTGGCTATGAATGTGGCCCAACACAAAATCGTACATTTACTTCAAACCTTTTTTTCTTTGCTCATCAGTTTTTATTAGTGCTTGTGTATTTAACGTGTGGTCCAAGACAACTCTTCTTCCAGTGTGGCCTGGAGACACCAGAAGGTTGGACACCCGTGATGGAGATAGCTGTCTTCCAACAACACGATCCTTACCACGTACCTCCTCTGCTCACGTGTGACTGCCTACACACCACGATGACCTTGAGACCCACCACCTATTTTCCTGGCTATGTTGCTTTTCGGTAGCATCTCCTAGAGCCCGCTCAGCAGCACATTTGTGTGAAGCTCCTCTTTACCATACTAACATACAGCAAGTCTTTGGTTTCAGATAGAGTTAGGGGTTTGATTTTTGTTTCATCCTAGAAGGGTCTCTGATCAATGTAATTGGTCAAACATTGGACGTGACACCAAATATAGCCCAACACTCCAGAAAATTCCTGCTTTTCTAGCTATTTCATACTTGTGTATGAGACAAAGTTATTTTTGCACTATGCATTTTTTTGGAACAATGTATTGTGCGCCTTGGAAATACAGTCGTTTAAAAACTGTATCTGAAATGAAAGTTCCCAATGTGTTAGAAGTCGATGGTGCCCCCATCAACCTGTCTTGTGCCCCCATGAGGTTTTTCACTGTATAAAGCACCCATTGAACGGGAAGGACTGGCCGTGCTCAGTTGCTCCCAGAGGCTGGAGAGTACACGAACAATCTGAATTTCCTTTTGGGCCACAGAAGCTCAGTTGATATTACATAGAATGGGGATTCCAAAATGGTCCTCATAACAGGAGTCTCACCGTGGTGTTCAGTTAAGTACCCATCTCGTCTTACCATTGTTTATTCTTACAAAGGTCGTACTTGGATTGCATCACCCTTGCAGACATTAGTCTTGTCACTGTCATCAATTGATACTGATTCATCACTGGTGATGATAAAAACGATGGAAGAAGGACTGAAAGTCACCTTCTTCTTTGGCCTGTTGCCATCTTTCTGGGACGTCACAATGGGCCTGATCTGCATCTCACTGCCAGCTGCTGGCAGGTCCGTAGCAGGCCTCTGGCACCTCAGCAGCTGGACACACAGCAGTTGCAAAAGGGACCTTCGAAACTGAGCAGAGAGAAAATAAGGTCAGATAGCAAGAAAAACGTGGCCCTTAATCCGGATTAGCATTCAAGACAATTCCTTAAATGCAATTCAGGTTGTTCTCTGATAGGGGTGGGGGGTTAAGGTGGCCACACTCAGATCTCCCTAAGTAACCCTGCAGTTTTGCCTTTTATTGGCTATAATTCCATTAAGTAGGCTGCGTAGGAATGTGTGACACCTTAGCATCTCTGTAGATTTGAGTTGCACGAACTGTCTGCGAGGGAAGCCACATTTGTTTCTTTAAGGGATCTGAACAAAAACTCACCCCACAAATCATCGGTGAGCACTGCACTCTCCAGGTGACAGTCACGGTGCTACAGTCCGCAGATGCTGGGGGCGCCAAGGGCAGGCGAGGCCCTTCCTGGCAGAGGAAAGAGACTGTGTGGTGGGCCCACTAGTGGTCCTTTCATTAGGGGAAGAGTTTTTTTTCCACCAAGATTGTGCATCAGTTGGAGCAAAAACCGCTGCAGCGGAGAGGGCTGGTGTCCACCAACACCCGTGTTTCTTCTCTGTCCTGGGTTCAACGCTGTTTCTCAGCTCCCTTTCAGGGGCTCCTCCTCGACCTTCCCTGTCCCTGAGACCTGAGCGCTCAAGGGGTGCAGCTGGTCTCAACCCACTTTCCTAAGTGACTGAACGGAACCGACCCCATCTTCTCCATCAGAGACACCGGACTGTGGACTCTGACCTGAATGAGCGATAACCTTTTTCTTGTGAATCCACTAAGATCTCGGGGTTTTTGTTGTAATTGTCCATCGTGACCAATAAAGCATATAAATAAAAATTTACTTAATTTCATTTTCACCCCCTTTGTTTAGAGTAATATGTAGGCTTTTCCAGATTGGGAAATATCAATAAAAAAGTATAATAGCTACATTGATATCTATCTTCTTTGAAGTCCATTTATATATGTTATCATTTAATTTATACTTACCTTCAAAATATTTACTTGTTTGAGACTCTTTTGATGCCCCAATCTACCATTTGGTATGTCGGGTTAACTGCTAAAGACACTTTATTTTAAGTGCTAAATAGACTTTTCATGCCAAAGAAAGTGTTTTCCAACTTAAATGGTAAGCTCCTTAAGGATAAGGACCATTGTTTCATTTATTTATTTGTTTGTTTTTGTTTGTTTGTTGCATCCTTTGTACTTCCTGTTCAAAGGGTGCTCTCGGACACCAGAAACATCAGGACCGTGTGGGGCTGGTTAGACATGCAGGATCTTGGACACCGAAACATACTAAATCAGAATGTGCCTTTTTCACAGTCTCTCCAGGTGTGGTGCCTACATACTAAAGTTTTAAAAGCACTGATTGATAGCCCAGCGGCCCAGATAAAGGACTCAAACAGTAATTTAGTTAAAAATGTACTTATTTGCCTGCGGAGGTGGTCGTCCTTAAAATAAGGTCTTCTATTCCTTCAGAAAATTAAAGTTATAATCCACCTCACTAGAGAAATTCACATGTGCAAATTTTCAAAGAGTTTTAGAAACACTGTCAGGGGTCCTGATGGTTCTCCTGTGGCCAGTGCAAGAAATCCTGAGGTTCTAACGCACGCCCAGGTTAAAGGTCACGAGCTTTCGGGAAGCAGATGAATGGAAGGCAACGTGCAAGGGAGGGAAAATCATCAGTGAAAGGGGACTGAGCCCTATGAGACCAGGCTCACAGGGAGGGCAAACCAACAACATCCAAGGAAAAGGGAAGGTGTAAGAAGAGCATTGGGAGTGAGCATTAGAAGGCTAGTATACAAGTGCCCCCTTGTTCCCAACCCTTGAAACATCAGAAGTCGGAGTAGTCATTTTGCCTATTATTAATGTGATCTGTTGCTTTAAAATCCCAACAGTGTCATTAACCCTTGTGCATAACAGTTACATTCTCTGATCTTTCCATTTTGTAACTTAGAGGGTCAGCTGCGCGTCAATCATAATGAGGCTTCTCACAGTCTGACGGAACACCGTTGAGTCAAAGCCGCAGTGGCGTGTGCATACTGACGCTTTCTACTACAGAAACAGGCACAACAGATCTAGGGGAAGTTTCTTGAGCCAAATCAGTCTTAGGTACACATTGGCCATGGCATCATAATAACCCAACCAATTGCTAATGGTACTTGGAACCCCAAGTAAAGAGTTTGGACTATGAACTTTTAGGATTCAAGCAAACGAGGTCAAAATCCAGCCATCCACACCTCCTAGATCAGGCAAATTATGTAACTTCTCTGAAGGTATGTGATAGTCCATAAATGAAATAAAAAAAATAATAACAGTGACTATTTCATGGAGTTTTGTGATGATAACAGGTGTAACCTGCATAATGTGGTAAGAATTTCATTTTATTTTTTTAAAGGTTTTATTTATTTATTTTTAGAGATAGGGGAAGGGAGAGAGAAAAAAGAGGGAGGAACCATCGATGTGCTAAAGATACATTGATTGGTTGCTTCTTGCACACCCCCAACTGGGGACCTGGCCAGCAACCTAAGCATGTGTCATGACTGGGAATCGAACCAGAAACCTTAGGTTGGCAGGCCTGTACTCAATCCACTGAGCCACACCAGCCAGGGCATATATAGTGAGAATATTAAATGTAATACTCATTATATTTGCTGTGGTCTGAAACCGACCCTGCAATATCTCCCCAGCATATCCGTATTATTATTATTAACATCTGGTGTGGCTGTTAATATCACTAGACACGAAATGGTCTCTGTTAAATGCTAATTTTAATAGAATTCTACCTAACAAGCACGAACCTCCAGGGGTAGAATTGTTATCATTTTGGGGTGGAATATTCTATTTTTCTTCTTGAAGCCTTTGCTTTCCTGTAAAATTTTCTATTTGGGTTTTTGTCGTGGGAGCTTCTCGGAATTATTTCCATAAATGCATTCTAGCTTTCCACAACCCCACCCCCCAGGCTGGAAGCAAGCATTTCATTCCAAAGCTTACCTTTCTGATCATGAAGACGTAGATCAGCGGGTTATGGACAGTGCTTGATTTAGCGGACAGGTAGGAAACCACAGACACCGTTGGACTGACCAGGTGTCCGTAACCATTAACCACCAAGAGACAGACCACGATATAAGGCATCCAAAACACCAGGAAGGTGAATATCATGACAAAGCACATTTTGGCCACTTTCTTTTCATATCTTAAAATCTTGATCACCTGGGTTGTCTGAAGATCTTCAACACAATGAAGCTGCAGAAAGGAAGGAAGGAAAGGGTTGGAAAGGGTAGAATTATTTTTGTTGTTTTTGTAATCGAGACTCGGGCACCAATCTTGGCCCCACCTTCATGGAAAGAGAACCGAGCAGGAACTTGGGAGGCGGAGT